GTTTGGGAAACCATCAGGTCTTGGGGATTTTCAAGGGTGCATTTAGAATAGAGCTTCACTGATTTCCTCTTTTGTTACTTCCCTATCCAACTTTCTCACATTTGAATCCATAAGACAAAGACTAAAACATTCAAGAGCCTCTTCTTCTAACTTCTAACTTTTGATTTCATCCATCTGAACTTCTTTTGCAAATAAATTTTGAAAAGTACTCCCCAGCTGTTTTTGCCACACATCTTTTATTATATTTTCACAGTCTTCATGGGTGCCCCACATCTCTTCGAATCTAAATAGTCTTCTTTTGTTTCCTGCCAAAGGGTTTGTGTCTAACATGATTAATAAATGATTAGAACCACTTAAGGGGAGGTTTAGAACAACTGCTTTCGGGTAAAGGCGTAACCAACCCAAATTTGCAAAACCTCTGTCTAGAACTTCTCTTACAAGGCCACTCTCCACCATCTTGTTGCTCCAAGTAAACCCAAGCCCAAAACTTTTGATGTCCAACAACTCCAAATCCATGATTACTTGAGAATTTCTTTATAACTCCCAATTCTTTGCTTGTTAGCCACCGGTTTTCTCCTCTCTTCATAGAATGAAATTTAGATCTCTAGCCCTTGTCTTTTTGTCTAGCTCTCCATAATAGGAGTAAAACCATACTTTGTAATTTGAATCTTAAAACTTTGTATGGATAAAATTCTTATTTACTACCACAATATCAACTTTAACCTCTAAATTCCAAAACAGAGCCAGGCCACCAACTAGTCCAACTGGATTAGCACCACAGCAACTCTAGTCCCATAGACCTCTAAATTTCTTTTTGTTGTTAATTAGGCTACATTTCGTTTCCTGACAATTCCAGTAGAGGTTATCTTCATTTCCCTTTCGATGGTTGTTATGGAACAACCACCTTAACCCACTTATTTTTCACCCATGAGGAATAGGGAGAGCTCTTTTTAAAGCAAGATTTTTTAATTTTCAAACAATCCTTTTCTTTTCGTGACTATTTAATTCCTCCCTTTCTCCACCCCCAATTAAGACTCCACTTAGGAAAATGTTTAAACACCTGCAATGTTGATGTATTTCTGCATCTAAACACATGATTTATTGTCTAGCAGATCATACAAAAAAGTTTGGAGAGGCTAAGAAGTCTTCTAAGGGTTTGAGTTCTCAGGTTCAAGCTTTTTTTTTAATAAAGACTCTTGTCTCACACATTTTCCTCCTCTTCAGAGGATGAGTTGCAAGGCTCAGAAACACTCCGCTGGGGGTTAAAGAGCATTGGCATCATATTTACTTGAGAGCAACTAGGTAATTCAACAAAGGAGCAAAGAAGAAAAGGTACCTCCTCGTTTGATTGTAACTTAGAGCAATCCAATGGTGGCATCTCTACTTCCTAGACTCAAGCATAGCTTCCATTTTCAAAAATTGGGAATTTGGTTGCATGAAATTTTGGCCTTTTGAAAATTGGGACCAAGTTCGAACACATTTCCACAAATCCATATCTCAAGCCTGCCTCATTCAGCTCTGACGTTGGTCTTTTAGTTTAAGAAGTTTCTCTGGTTTATCTTTTTTCACTATCTCATGGATATTTTCAACCCCTTCCACTGTGGTACCTCCCCTTCTATGACCTTATCATAATTGACTTGCTTATGAGGGTTCAAATAGCTTTCTTGTTGAACGGACAATTCCTCAATAACCACACCTGAGGATTTCCTTGTTTGGATAAAATTTGCTTCACTTGCTAAAGCTACCTAGCTGCCATTGCTGGTTTTAGCAAGACTCAAGCCACACACCTGTTGATCTATGACTTTGCTAATTGGGCCTATCCATGACAGCTCACCTCGTCAAAGTAGCTTCATCGGAGCAACCACATTGAAGTTTCGACCAACTAGATTATCCTTTTCCAGATATAGTCACAGCCCCTCCTCCATACTCAAGTGAAAATTACTAAAGAAAAACATGGCGAGAGCTCTACTATGCACTAGAATCGTGTTCTAGACTATTCTCTGCCTGAGTCAGTGCTTGAACCTTCAACTTCTACTTTGGGGTGCTCCTTCTGATTTGCGGGGTCTACCTTCTCTCTCTCTCTCTCTCTTTTGTTTCCCTTCTTTACTATTGAAATACTTCTGCTCATCAAGTTCACTGTTTACCCTTAACCACAGTCTGAATCTTGTAGGGATCCCATCGTCCTACATTGTCTATGCAACTAACTGGTTTGCCTGGTCCTCAACTAGGTCCGCCCTTTTCTTGAAACTGCAATTCCCTTCTCCATGTCCAACTCTTCCACATGCATAATAGAAAAAAATGGAAGCCTTTTGTATTGCACTTGGAACCATTTGTTTGAACCATCCCTTCTTGTTCCCACAACTGCCTTAACCAAGGGATTATTTACATTAATCTTCATCTTAACTCATAGGTATAAATCCCACTCTAAGGCATTTTTATCATGGATATCATCTTTGTCCAACGGGATCAAATCTCCCACTTGTTTTGCATGGAACTCCCCATTTGCTCTTGTCATTAGTTACATGGGAGATTCAAAATCCTTATATAAATATCTAGTTCTTGAAAGACTACTCTACTCGGTTTAAGATCTAGATTCCAATCCCTAAATAGTAGAGGATAGTCGTTGTATATCCATGGTTGGTTTCTCAAAACTCTTTCACTATCCCTCTCCCTTTTGAAGATAATTGATGGAGGAAGATTTGGCCCGACCTCTTGGCCACCCAACACGTGGAAGCAACCGAGGGTGACCTGGCAGGAGCAACAACTCGGCATGGCAGTGCGCTCAAGGCGCGAGCTCCGAGAGGAGTAACCAGCGGTCCGAGCTCCCCAAAAGGAGCCTGAACTCTCCCTTTGAC